GCTTTTAAAGATTCCCCATTTTAAAGATTCCCTATTTTAAACATTACGCATTTTAAAGATTCCTCATTTTAAAGATTCCCCGTTCCCCGTTCCCTGCTTTCCGATTCCCCGTTCCTTGTTTTAAAGATAGCCATTTGAAAGTTATATGAAAATGCAACGATTCGACGGTACCGTTATTGGCCGGAAATGTACACATACACACACAAACTCAATTGTTTCGCATTTGAACTTTTATCTACAATTTATTTAACATATCATCCCCTTATCCTCATGTTGCTGTATAAAAGAAGAGGGCTGCAGTCCTGAAATTGTTGCATCGTTCACATAAAAGCAGTATAACTTGGCAGAATAGTACAGCGCCGCCTGATCATGAGTTGTTTACAAAGCGTACCAGTTTCGTGTTTTCTGATTCGAGGTTTCTCTATTCCCATCTCGTTGAAAATATGAGGCTGTAATTACTTCACGTAAGAAATCTTTGTTTAAATATTAGTCTTGAACCGCTCAGCGAATCAGATGCAGGCAAAAGTGTCGTTATTTCAGGGACATCTGTTTCTCGTTTGGCGGAATAACAATCCCTGAAACTCTGTGGAAATCAAATCGACTCAATTTTTTGAAGGTAGACTTTTTTATTCGGGTATGTTATGTTCTTTCTGTTGCAGTAAAAGAAGACTCACCAACGAATAATGACCTGGAAGAATTGGCATACGAAATCATCGATGTATGGAAGAAGCTTGGGCGACGGTTGTTGGAAAGTGATGAATCATCACTACTTGCAATTGATAAGGAGAATGAGGACTACAGTGAAAAGGCTTACCAAATGTTGTTAAAATGGAAACGAGCTAGAGGCCCACTTGCAACTTTCCTAGTCTTACATGACGCCTTGTGTCATCCTTTTGTAAATCGTCGAGATTTAGCAGAAAAATTCTGTGTAGTGAAGCAGGCCTAACACGTCCATCGCACACAGATTATTTCACTTTTGTTTTGATGTCTTGAAAATGGGCTCATTCCCTTGATTAACTCAGAAACCTCGATGGACGTTAGAAAGAGGAAGTTCAGTGGATTGTCTATTTACGTGTATATGTGACATCAGCCGGGCTCGACACTAACGGTGGCCACTAGCCTACATGAGACTCGTAGAAATTCAACTGTCACGTGGAAATTAAGTGAAAAACAGTTACTTTTTTGTAATGGGCTAACCTTTATTAGGGGGCCACCATCGGGAAAATGGGAGGTGACCTAACCCTAACCCTAACCTAATAGGGGTTTGTCAGGGACTAGCATGAGGCTTGGTAGAAAGGTCAATTTATTCAAATATAATACAAAGCATGTTTTAAGGCAACAAGTGAACTCTTATTTGCCATTGCCTTTTCCAAAACAAAGCGAAACTACGTGTATTAAATTTTGGCTGCTAGCTTAACATACCAACGTTGAATGCCCTACACGACTTGTTTTTTGGCCAGAAACAGTCGACTTAACTTTCCATGTGACAATATGAATGTTTTAA